TGATCCAGATCCTATCTAATTGTATTCCATTCCAAAGATGTTTGTTTCTTTTTTAAGACTGAAATGTTGTGCCTGAGGATCACAAAATACTGAGCTAAACCAAGTTCTGAAAAAAATGTTTTATGTAAATGCGGCTTCAATAATTAAGCTTTCATTCAGTTTAATTCCACTGCGACTCTAACGAAACTGATGAATCTGTAATGTTTTCAGTTAATGTGCTTCCATATTTTCACCAATAAGAACAGAACCAACAAAGTTTACAGTTGTCTCTGCTCACATTTGAATACACTCTGACATTTTATACTTTTAAACAGTCTCCTCCGTCATATGTAGTTTTCATTTCTTTGCTGGTGTCCAGTTGGGTTCACGTCTGCAGGTTCTGATGAATGCCCATGTCGGTAATATTTTTAGGTGCTGCTTGCAAACACTTTCTGCGTTGAGGCTTACTTCAAGAACAATTACATGATGGTTCAATTGCAAAAACGTAAGTACAACACAAAGTGGTAATTCAGAACAGTCTTGTGTTGTTTTTTTTTACATCTCAGTACAAAAGACTTGCACATGTTGCATTTCCTGACTAAACCCCACATAGCAACACTTCACCCCCAGCCCCACTGCATTTCATTTTCGCACTGCCCATTTTTTAATGACCTAGATGTAATCCACAGTTGTCCAGTGCCATGATGCAAACAGATGAATGTTGTGATTTGTATTTAACAAATGAAAGCAGCCTGTTTTGTCATTCCTATCTCTATCCTTTCCAGACTCTCCTGAGAACAATGATGCCAGCATCAAGAAGATTGCCAGGGAGGTCTTGCAGAACAGGGCCTACATCTGCTCTCACCCTCTTGAAAGAATGTACTGAGCTCACACATATGACCGTGATACGGTTTCCTGTAATGTGACTGGACAGTATGGGAGAGGCAGGTCACAGATCCAGTGATTTGTCTTCACCACTGTATAATCCTTATTTTGTTTGATATTATGATAAATCCAGAGATCCAGAACTAGATTCAGCATTGTATTAACCATGTCTTTAAGTAAAAATTACTGTGCAAGATACGAGTTGTAACGCTTATGAGTCTGTTTGGTATCCAAGGGTGAATGTGGGTTCTAGCTTCTGCAGTATCCCTCAAAGGATACACAGTTGCTGGATGTATTTTCATTTT